GGGATAATTTCGAAAAAAATGATGATGGAAGCTTGGAAGAGACACAGAGAGAGAAAAAGAGAAATGGAAAGATATAATGATAGAGAGAACATATTACAGTGATAAAGAGAGAGATAGACAATGAAAGACGTGAGAGAGAGAGGGAGGATAAGTTTTTTTCAGAAGTATTGTTTGATGTAAGAAGAACACAAGTAAACAGGATGTTCAAAAAAAAAGAAGGGGAATGCCCTTTTGAGAGAGAGACATGAAGAGATACAGAGAGAGGAAGGGCAGTGAAAGGACATGAAGAGTATGAAGAGATTATGTGAAGAGAGATGGAGAAGAAGCTGGATGATGATAAAAAGTATATCAAAAAGTGGAGAGAGGAGTTCAATTGACTGGTCAGTAAAAGAAAAAAGTTGAAGAGCCGAAAATGGAAACCAGCAAGTTGGGCATTGCTTTGAAAAAAGTACAGCTGAACGCTGGACAACGTCGATCAATGGGAGAGCAGAGAGCAAAAAATGAGTGGAAAAGAGGAAGAGAGAGGGAGAGATAGATAGAGGGAGATGGTGGCTGGCTCGTTGGTTGGTTGGCTAGGGGGAGGGTCTGGGACGATGACGGAACGACAGAACGACTTACGAGAGAAATAAAGAGAAAGAGCAAAAAGAGAAAAAATGGAAAAAGAGAAAGAGTTTAGTAGGTTTGAGAGAGAAATAAGAAAACGAGATTTTCACGTTCGAGATTGAACGGGGGGGGGAGGGTGAAATGGTGATGAGATAGCTGTTGCTCTGAGATTGTATCATGTAAAGAGCTGAAGTATGAGAGAGAGAAAAAAAGAATGAGAAGAGAAAGAGAGAGGAAGAGAGAGAGAAAATGTAAGAAGGTAGAAATGCAATGAGAGGGATATATGGTGACGGCAAAAAGAGAAATGATCTTGAAAAGCCTTAAAGCGTTTGTGGAAAGCGTTGATGAAGCTCTAAGCTTATTTCCATAAATAGTATTTCTCCTTATTCATTACATCAGTCTGACTATATTATAATCGGATAGAAGATTAAGAAGAGAATCTTAATTGATTATGTAAAAAACTAAAAATATAAAAGTTTTCTTAAAAGTTTTTCCATCATATTCCGTATTCGATTCATCTTCCGCTCGATGTTTGATAATTGGATTTTCATATTCATCTCATTATTTATATGTTTCGTTAATGCTTTTGCATGAGAATGGGGGATGATGCAGAGATGAGCAAAAAACTGAGAAGAAATGAGCTGCAACGTCTAATGAAGGAGAAGGAGGGAGAGCATTTAATGAAAAAATCTCTTTTAACTTTCAAAAACATTGATTCCGTTGGTCCTTCTCAGACTTCTTCTTCTTCATCATCATCATCATCATCTTCTTCTTCTTCCTATTTCTTTTTCTCTTTTCTTATTTCAGTTCAAACTTTCAATGCAATGTGAGCTCAAAGTGGACAGTGTTCGAGAGAAAAACGATGTTGCCAAATTCTGTTTGTTCATCTCGACTCCGTTCATTGCGCTGTCCATAGATTTCTGCATTCAATCTTAATGCACCTTTTCTTCTTACAAAATAAGTTTACGTGAACGTCCGACGACACGTGGCGGACAACAAAAACGAATCGGATTAGCACGTGAAGTTCAATGCCTTAAGGCGTCATGGACATTAAGGTCACTGTGTGTGCAAGTACGTATGGTTGATTGTGGTTACAATGATACCTCGCCAACACCGCAGGGGGCACACAAGTTCGAACTGATATATTGAGAAGTTAATGTTTGTAGTTTCAATTTGCTTTCCACGTGAATTTACGTGAAATTCAAACTCAAAATTTGACGTGAAAATTTGACGTAACGTGAACTCACGTGGAGAAGGTGAAAACTGGTCATTTTGAGTATTGAGACGGTGATGAACGGTTGCATTGAGTAAAAAAAAAAAAAAAAAGAAAAAATGTAAACATACATGTTACTAGTTGAAGAATGATGAGGAAGACGTTTGTGAGAGGTGGAATGAGGTACGAAAATGATGTTTCGGTTCGTAAAGCAATAATTCGTATTTAAGAGTTTGGAAGATATTGTGATTCAAGCGCCAAAATCAAAAAGAAAATAAAAAACTACTGTGTCTTCATCTTCAGTCAAATTCATTTTTTGTGCGTGGATTTTCCAGGCACGAACTCATTAGTTACTTGGACGACGACACGGTAAATGTAAAGATGATGGTTAGATGAGAGAGTATGAGAGACATCTAACGATGAGCAGCAACACGTCTCCAAGGGCATCCACAGGCCATCAGATGATGATGACAGACGTTTTTTTTCGTCGCAGTTTCTTCACTCTCTCTCTCTCTTTTTTCTGTCTTCCACACTGTTTTGCCGGCTTTTTTCAACATGTCTAGCTATCTCATTATACTATATACTATATCATTCATTAATTTGAATATGGGTAAGTGGGTTGACGAATAATGATGATGATGTGCTATGTAAGATTTCCGTTCAGCTATCTGACCTCCTGAAATGTGAGTGAAGCCGACGAAATCTCAAAAAACATCTGGGGATGAATGTTCGCCAATCATCTGATGACCACAATAAGCAGAACAAAGACAAAGTACTCAACGATACTGAATGTGTGTCTGTGTGTGTCCAAAGAAGTTTTTTTTTTGAATTCCAACAACATATTTCATTTGGAAGAGAAGGGAAATAAAAAATTCCGGAAAAGTGAATGAAATATGAGAAAAAAATGGAGAGTTTTAAAAGTTGCTCCATACTACATTGAGTTTGGAGCTGCGAGATAGAGAGTTTGTAAGGAATGGGGGTAGGGAGGGTAAGAGGTTAAGGGAGTGTTGGAGTGCAAGAACGGTTCAAAGAGAGTAGAGAGCAAAAGGAATATGTATTGGAGAAACTGCATGACTGACTGAATGTTGCAAATGAACAGCAATTGGAAGGGTAAGAGAAAGGGAACGAGAGTAAGAGGTGATGGAGAATAAGCTCAAATGAGGTAATGATGATCAATGAAGCTTCTTGCAAGCATGTATAGAAGGGTGTGTAGATGACTGTTGTTAGTCAAATGAAGCATATGAGTATTCATCTTCTAATAACTACTCAACTAAAGAAATCTCAATTCCAACTCATAATGGCTGACTGAATGGAAATGTTCAGAGGAAAAAAATTTTTTTTTTTGAAATTTGAGAAGTTTAATCGGCCACCTCCCTCTATTGAAACAAATTCTGTGTCATCTTCATTAAATGGAAATATTTGAGTGAAAGCTGCTGCTGATGCTGAGATGAAGGTTTGAGAAAGGAAATGTTTCACCTCAGACAGTCAAAAGCGAGTGAACTCAGCTCAGATTACACGAGGTTCGTGTTGACGAATGATGAAGAGCGTATAGTACAAGCGGAAAATGTCCGAAGAGTAACAACTTGTTTCACTTTGACGGTAATGAACAAGCTCAACATGTTTTCATTTCATATCCTCTTATGGTAACTAATAAGAAGAGTTCAAGTCATTCCATTCAGAGTTCGAAACAAAAGGAAAAAAACTTTTTTTTTTCGTCTTAAACGAAAACGAAAAAAAAATTGAAAAGCAGAGAGATAGTGAGAGTGTAAGAGATGGTGAGTGAGAGGTCATAAGCTTTGTATGGAAATGGACCAGATGTTCAAACTTTTGACCATTTACAGTATTTCAATTGAAATTGAGGAAAAGGAAGAGAGATGAAGAGTTAGAGAGATAGACTGAGAGAGAGAGAGAGAATTAAAGAACGTTCGGCTTCTCGTCTCTTTCAAATTTTTTTTTTGAGAAATATGGGCTTGACAAGTTAAAGACTTATCACTTCCTTAGGGAATTTTATGAAATGCAGCTAACAAAACATAAAGATTTAAACTTTTAGATAAAGTGCTTATGCACTCTCTGACTGTCTCTCTCCTTGTGAGTGGACGTCTTCAATCTCTCTCATTCTGATTCTCTATCAGACTATCAGAGAAGGGAATGGAGAATACAAAACTTCTATCATTGGATCATTACAGAGATTCAATTGGAAGGTGTTTTCTGATTTTTTTTTTCGATAAAGGTTACTGTAGAAGAAATGAAAACAAAATTTTAAAAATGAATTTCATGAAAGTTGAAGTTCAGAAAAATGGTTTCGAAATGAGATATAAATATATGTGTAGATTAATAGAGAGATAGAGAGAGAGAAAAAGACATGAAGAGAGAGAGAGAGAGAGAGAACGGCTATGCGAGAGCAGCGGTAAAAAAAGTTCAATCAATATGCCATTTTTCATATTCGAGTTCTCTGTAACATCTCTCGATTTTCTGATCCTTCACAAGTCTCAAATAGAAGAAGAGAGTATCAGGAAGAGAGAGAGAGTGAGATAGAGTAAGAGTGATGTGCACTCTCATCGTATTAGCAAAACTTAGAGAGAATCAAATGAAAACGAGCAAAAGAAGGAGACACTACGAGTCTGGATGATGTGCTTTTCCTCTCCACGCACACCACACACACACCCTCTGACTCTGCTCGTTCCTTTTTATTTGCTCTTTACATAGTTTAACTGTTCTTCAAAAGCTTCGTGCAGATATATTTCTACTTCCTTAAAACTTCTCCAAAAACCTTATTATTCTAATTGAATCGTTGTCACTTAGACTTTCACGTAAATTTACGTGGCCCACGTAAACAACCCCATGCACACCATTCGTGTTAATCATTTGTCATTAAGAACAAGCTGATGAGCGGTTGCATTCAAAATGATGTTTAAACATGATCAAATGACAAGCGAATGTTTTGATTTTTTTTGAAAATTTTTGAAAAAATCGTTTAAAACATTTAAAAAGGTTCTCCTCTTTAATATTTTGAAATTTTATAAAAGGAATGATTAGGAGAGGGCGAGAGAGAGCGTACCGCATTCGTCATCTGTGGATTGCGGCCGAACTGTGATAACATTGGATATTGCAGTAGAGACTGATTTTGAAAGTTAAACAAATCTTAATATGCATTATAATATATTATATACATATAGTTAGTATACTAACCTTGATTGTTAAAATTTGGAAAAGTTGATGATTCGAGTGATTGTTGAAGGGCAGCATTGAGATTTGGAATCTGAGTTGTTGTTGTGGATGATACAGAAGGTGGTTGCTACAATATGAATGAATGAAATCAAATGTGTTGAAGAAAAGTGCTCTAACCTGTTCAGCGGGTGCTGCTGCACTCTGCTGACTTCCTTCCGAAGATGAATCAGTTGATCGAGACTGTGAACGAGCTGAAAGGATGAATTGTCATGCAATGTCAAATGAATTTCAATGAACTCATACTCGAATCGCTGTTATTCAATCCATTGGTCTGTCCAAAATGACCATGGGGATGTTCTGATAATGGAAGTGTTTGGTTAAAAGATCCATCTGAATGAATTATATGATATAAGGTTAGATGACGTCTTCAACATACCCAATGTTTGAGTTTGCATAGTTAAAGGAGGCGTACTTTGATAAGATTCAGAATCGTTGATTACATCCAACTGAAAGAGAAAAAAATGAATGAAAAAGGCCAACTACTGATGAGTTTGAGAAGTAAAGGGAGGTTTGTTGAAGTGAAGAAATCAACAACTATCCATTTCTTTGGGAATTCCTTCTCTTCATCTCTCTTTCTCCATCTCTCTCTCTACTACCTCTCATTGCTTCACTATGATAATATGATTCTCTCTCTCTTTTCTTTCTCTTTCCATAAATGGGCAGCTGTTAAAGAGGGAAAAATATAAAAAGAGAGTAGAACAGATGAGGATTTAATCATAAAATAATTAAAAATATGAAATATTCGAGAAATTCGTTTCTTCCTTCAACTGTAATGACCTAGAAATGATTTGTGGTAAGAGACAAAGCCTTGTGAGTTGACGATTCACATATTTGAAAACAAAAGATCTTCAATTGTTTGAAACAGATGAGTTTGACCAATATGAGATTGAGATTCTTTCATTCCCTTTTTTTGTAATTCAAATAACTTCACGGGAACTTCTTCAATGCTCACACCTTCTTACCCTCCAATCGTTACTCTCTTCAATGGCTTCACATGATCAGCCCAATACATCTGGATAGTACTTCCAAGTTTGGAATAGATCATCTGTTCTATAGTTACTAGCACATTCTTACTCTCATTAATACTTTCTCTCACAAGATTCAATGAGGGAAAAGTTTCTGACCTCTCTCTCTCTCCAGCTTCAAGACTTCTAATCCTTACCCACTCCTCTGCCTTCTCTGTTTCCTTCTCTCTCTCTCTCTTCCTCACCCTCTCTCTCTATCTTTTGTGACTTTTTTTGGAAATTGTTTTCGAATTAAACGAATAACAAGTAAGAATAACATTTGAATTCTTTGTTTTGCAAGTATTTGCTACCGTAGTACACGAAATCTTCGAAAATCCAAATAAGGTACCCAGGAGTAACTCAAATTCAAATCATCCTTAGCTCATCTTCGATACTACATCTTCAACTCTGAATTCAAAAACTGCCGCCTTAATAGCGGTTTACCAGTCATCATAGGATAGTTGTTCATTTTCCAAAATTGAACAGTTGAGTAACAGGAAAATCTCTTTCAATCTTTCTCTCTATTTCCCTCGTGCCACCCGGCGACACTTCATCCTTCCCTGAATCTTACAGTTTTTATACCAAAAAAGGCCCGACGCACAGTCAGCCTGCCATGTTCAGGCTGTTGGGAAAATTTGATGAAAAAAAAACTTTGGAATATACAGTATGAAAGATAGAATGGGATACTCCGATATGGAACTGGTAAAGGGAGAAGGGTTGCAGAAGAAACGCTGCTAGGTAAGATGGATATCTCCTCAATCAAGGAAAAGGAACGAATACATAGATTTAGTTCTAAGCAAGCGAACAGATAAGCTTCTAAGAAGCTTTGAAATTGAAAAAAACTGAGATACAATAGAGGTTAAGCTGAATCAAAGCTGTCACACACGGTTTCAGGATGGAAATGGCGCAACGAACTGGTCAAAAGGTCAGATCGAAGAGAAGATTGAGGGAAGTCTTAATGAAATTGAAAAAAAAACAAAGCACATGGCAAGGCAACATCTGCCGTAACAGTTTGAATAAAAGTTTTGAAAAAAAAAGAAAATGAAGAGCTTACCCAAAGCTTATCAGCGTGAGGTCGAAAGATTTCGTTGGTTATCATATCTGCTGAATATGAATAAGAGCTTGATTAGAAAAGTAAACTAAACTGTCAATTTTGAAATGAAATAAAAAGAATGAAAAGAACTTTCAACTATCATGAAGGCGGAGCTTACTGTACAAGGAGAATGAGAAGATGAAGAAGGAGTAGGGAGAAGAAGAATGAAGGAAGAAGATGGTATGGATATGACGAAGCCCATGAACACTTCTGTACTTTACCAATGAGAAACGAAACGAATTCATATGAGAAAGGGCCATTTTCTAGTTCTCCGAATTCGAATTTGTACGTAACATCTCACATTACGTGAACTTCACGTAACGTCGCATCTCATATGCTAATGAGCTTACAAATCATTTATGATGCTCAGACGTTCAGAAGCGGTTGTATTCAATGTAAGAGAAAGAATATAAAAACTATTTTAAGTAAATGTTATTCATATTATAATTATAATTATAATGTTTCACAAAAAAACATTCCCACACATATAGCTAGCACATACACACACCACACACATCCACACTTGGTCGTGTTCTTGTTATTGGAGTTTAAAATATGAAAATGTAAATACCTTTGACGACTTCTGAGATTTCCTTATTCGTTTATTGATCGTTGATCTGTTTTATAAGTCTTTCAGACTTCTTTTTATTTTCTTAGAAAATAAAGAAAAACTTTTTTTTTATTTCAAAACTGCTTTATCTCTTGGAGTAGATGATCTTATAGATCAAATTGCTCTTTGAAAATGGGTTGGGAGTTGGACTCCAAATGAAAATCGCTAGGCGACTTCAATAACCAATGGCAGTACGCTCTCAGAGCTTTAAACTGAAATGAATGAGATGTAAGTGCACATAATCATACGACAAACAATGAAAGAATGAGTTACAAGATGAAAATATACAAAAAAGGAAAGAAAACCAATGAGACCATAGAGTTTACAAGATAGAATGACTGATAACACATTCTCTCTCTCTCTCTCTCATTGGCTATAGAGAGAAGAGAACGAGGAGAGAGAAAGAGAGAGAGAGAGTAATTAATCTGAGGAAATAAGTTTTTGAAGAAGAAAAGTGAATATCAAACGAAAAAAAAATGAAAAGCGTTCGGCTATAAATGAAAGTTTAAAGTGTTTTTTTGTTATCGAACTTCATCACCTTTCTTTTTCGAGAATACAAAAAGGTGACGCAAAATCTAATGTGAATGGAATTAGTGTGGTTCCTGGTGAATGAGAATCGAGCTTGTGATTGGGATATGAAAAGATATAGTGAGGATGAGATAGAGAGAGATATAGAGGGAGAGAGGGGAACATAAAAAAAGGTGAAAGAAGATGATGAAGAAGAAGTTGAACAAGATGAACGAAAAAGAAACAATCAAAGAAAAGCAGTGTGTTTATGAAATTATAAAAATATATATTTAAAAGAAGCGAAGCGAACAGGGTGGAGTTACGAAAACGAGGAAAACGATAGAATATAGTTGTAGGAAGACAACTTTTTCACAGTCAATCTAGGCGTTCAAGAGAATGACGGAGGAAAAGGAGGAGAATACACGTCGATCGAAAGTATTCTGATGACGAGGCAAAAAAAAAGTTATACAACATTGAAAGTGACATTAAAAGTAACAAAGAGGATGGTTGTAGAAGAAGCCTCTATGGCAGAGACAAGAAACAGGAAAAAATGATGCTTCGAGTGGGTATGCCTTCAAAATCACAAAATGAAATTCTATGTTAAGAAAGATGAACAGCAGCAGCTTACAGGGTGAACGCTGATTTACATTTTCACATCCTCACCAAGATTCAGCTGCCATACGTTTCTCTCTCTCTTACTATGTGATGATGTCTCATTTGGTTTTTCAAAACGATTTTGCCACTCAAAACTTATAACAGGGAAAACATCCAAAAACAGTCATTGGCCAATATATACTATAAAAGAAATGTTAGAAGAAGCGCAACAAGAAGACGGTAAACGATTATTCTTCCAGACGAACGTGGAACTGAATAACCCGTTATGGAAAACTGGTGGTCGTCGGACGACGATGAAGGTCCGAAAAAAACGGTCGGACCGTCATCTATGTTCCCCTTTGCGTGTGTATCTCTTTCTATGTGAATCGGATGAGGACAACGACGACAAATTTGACAACATTCAATGTCCAGGTGAAATGAGAAGAAGAAGAAGAGGTTCGGGGGTTGCAGATACGTTTGGTCTGGTCTCCAACATTTTGATTCTGGAGACTCTCTATGACACCCTCCATTACATCTAGCCATGTTGATTTTGAACGTCGTTTTCTCATTTTGCTCTCTTGTCTCATTCATTCTTTCTCTCTCTCTCTCTATCTTCCTCTCTATGTCTCTCTTTCTCTCCCTCTTCATCTCTCATTTTGAAGGTTTGTCTCGTTTTCGGCTAAAAAAACGTCTGAAGATAGCAAAAGAACGAGATTGTAAGGTGAAAGACATGTTTCATATGTTGCTTTGGACGATATATACTCTTACTGTTCATCTGAAAGCATAGAATAGAAAAAGAATCTTTTTCATTTCACAATTACTTTTCAGAGTTCTATAGAGAGAGAGAGAGGGTGGATGAGAGAGGTTGCTCAAGTAGTGAGCTTCTATCTCAGAGCTTAGAAGAGAAAAAAAGAAAGAGAGAGAGAGATTGTATATGAGATGGATGAAAGTGAAAAGGTAAAAAAGGGTGTCTGATAATAGAAGGGTGGGTGAAGGAAGAACACAAAAAGTACGTAAGAAGGGTAGAAATACGAAGAAGAACTTCAGCTGTTTGCATTTTTTTCATTTGTAGACGGCAAAATGTCTGTGTTACACCTTTGAAAATAGAACAAAAAATGAGCATTTGTTGGCGGTGTAAGTGTATGAAAGGTAGGAAATGCTCCTTCAAATTAATTAATTTCTTATTTCAGATTGGACGATGGTTCATATCCAAACTCAACTCACATACGCATATACACAACACTATCACCATTTCTATATATTCAATTGAAGTAAATAAGCGACTGCGTTAAAACATATTCTCAAATTTTTTGATGAGCACATCTGGTACAATGCTATCTGATATGAAATGAGATGAATTCAGAAGAGAGACGTAACATAGCAAAAAGCCAAAAGACACATACAGCAAGTGATGGAACATATGATTGGCTGAAGATGGCAGACAGCACACCTTTGCCATCTCACCACATTCAACATACACACAGAATCGTTTTTTCAAAATTTCAATAAAAAAATAGAAAATACAGCATATTAGATATAAGAAGAACTCTTCACTAAGCCATTCCACGTCTTTCTTTTGACAATCAATCGAGCTGAGAGATGAAAAAGAGCCCAAAAAAACGTCTTTACAGTCTCACCTTCTGCTCTCTTTAGATTTTCGCTTTCTATCTATTGCTCTTTCTTCGGTCATCCTTCTCTTTCTTCCTCTCTCTCTCTCTCGAACTATCGCTCTCTGCAAACGGTCAATGTATTGCTCTACAAGGGTTTTCGTCGATCTTAGCGATCCCAGTCGTCGATGTTCCCCTCTCACCCCTGCATCCTTCATTCCTCCTTAGTGCTTCCCTCTCGCACCCACAACCCCACCCTACTAACCTTTTCCATCTCTTCTTTTTCAAAGTGAAATTTCGAGGTTTTCAATGCTGTGTTAGAAGAACAAACAAACTTTTATGAGCAAGCAACACGCGAAACGAAGAGACAGACGAAATAGTTTAAAACGTTCACCTTTCTCTCTCTCTCTCTGTGTTCGCAATCTCTATCTCTTCCACTCTCTTTCTATCCATCATTCTCTCTCTCTCTCTCGTTTTCTGAAAAATACAAGAAAAAATGAAAATATAGTAATACCTCAGAAGTATAGTATAGAAAAAGAACTTCTCCTTCTATCTAACTATGTGATGTCTTTTAATGGCCATCAAGGGACAGATGGGCGGAGTTATATGTGGCCACCCGTTCAGAAAAAAGCAAAAAATGCAGAAAAATGTTGTGATTTCAGCATTATTTATAAGGCAATATGTGTAATTGCTTTCGAGAGTTGAATAGAATGAAAAGCGATGGACATTCAACTTGAACATTCACAGCCATCTCGAGCATTATCCTATTTCAGCTTAAACACGACATGAACACCAACTGACGACGCAGAGGAGGGGGGGTCACAGAAAAAGAGCCGCAGCAAAAAAACTTTTAAAAGTGCACATGTACTTTACAAGAGGAACACGTGAACGTCTCACGTAGAGAGAAACAAGAGAGAGAGAGAGAGAGAGAGAGACGTCTACTTCCTTTAATATAAAAATGAAATGTTTTGTTTTACTGTAAAGATGTATGAAGAACACAACTTCTCAAGGTCATTTTCGTTTTCGAATAAAAAAAAAAAAAGTTTTTCGTCCTCTCTAGTCTACATGAACGAAAGCAGTTTATATGAATAAAGTGAGAATTTAAAATGAAAAAGTTGACAAAACTTAAGTCAAAATATTCATAGAAGAGTTAGAAAGACGTATTTGATCAAACTTCATCCTGGAGACTCGCAGACGTTTTTTTTGATCTCTCCCTTCGAAGAAAAGACAAACAGATAGTCTTGCATTCACTTGATACTATGTGATAGAGTGATTGCTCTGTCCTAACTCTCTCTCTCTCCCTCTCTCTTGCTCTAACCTTACTCATTTCATTTTCATTTCATTGCTGTTAATTCTCTCTTCACTCTTTTTTTCCATTACATAGCCAATATGCCTATGTGCCTATGTGCGCATATGTGTCTGTGTGTAATCTATAAATGGTCATCTCACCCGACCACCCAGTTCGCTTCTGCTGGAAGAAAGCTTCCAGTTAAACAGGAAGATTAGTCTCTATCAGTAGTCCAACAATACTTTCATAAAAATATATTATCCATCAAAAAAACCTATTAAAATTTCACATAAAATGAGATTTTTTCTATTCGGACGCGAGAGTGAACGATGGAGGATGAATAGACTTTCGAAGTTCTCTTCCGACACCGAAATCTTTTTTTTTATCAAAAGAGGATGAAGCTCAACGTATATCGTCACTCAAATACATTATGGGTGGTCATTATAAGGATTTAGTGTCTCAAGACGAATCTTCTAACAACTCACAATGATATATCGTTCCAAACATTTTTTGTCTTCCACCCAATCGATATACGGGTTACTAGTGCTTGAACACCAACCTCATCATTTTCCTCATTTCTCATTTTGTTATTTTAATTTCTTTCTTCTTCCATAATCACATTTACACATTTGTCCTTCATATTCAATACTTTCAAACTTCTTTTTTTTTCGTTTTCGACCATATCTCTTGGATCCTCTTTCAATCCTCCCTCCTTCTCAAGGACATCAAATTATGGTTTTTTGGATGAAATTGACGAAACTTTCAAAGTTCGTTCTTTCATTCAAAAACATCTTTTCTATCTTTATTAACCTTCATATGATTCCAATTTATATCCCTCTCTCTCTCTCTTTCGCTCTTGCTTCAATTTATCTGAAATCGCTATCCATTCGAATAAGTTGATCATTTGATCGCTACATATCACGGATCCTCATTTGATCTACACCTGATCTACGTAACCCTCCCATCTCCCTTTTTCATCCTTATATTCGCCTAATGTAATCAATATTTTTAAAATTTTGAATTTTTTGCCCTTTCAGCTTACTTCTTTCACACACTGTTTCTCTCGCTTCGTGCGGCGCCCAACTTCACGTTTACGATTTTGTACTTCTGTTTCCGTGACCGGTCAATCGTCACTTTTCATTTTCCATTTCGTTCTCGCACTTGATTTCAGTTTCATTCTCCCATATGTAGAATTCGGAGTAGGTTTTCATTCTTATTAGCAAGCTGATGGTAGCAGTTGGCCCTCTGTACCTTGCTTAATTAATTTCATTTCCGTACTTGTTGTACCTTGCTTAGCGGTTGTTCTCTTGTGTAGGTGTATAGTCCTATAGACTTGAAGAACTTTAAGAAACTTTTAATATCTTTATTAAATTTGTATGAGTATCATTTTTTTTTGATTTTCTCTAAAAATTATCGTTTCTAGATTGGGTCAAAGGACATCATGATAGGATTGTCGGTGAAAGCACATTTGCCATCAGAATGGATTTTGACAAGACAGACGGTGAACCAACACCGGGTGACAGAATAGCTCCTCCTAGGACCATTGGTGATAGTACATCCGGACATAATACAGTTGGAGACAATATCAACGGAGATAATACGTATGGATTTATCACGTTGGGAGATAATACGTACGGAGTGAGGATGAATGGAGCCATAACCAATGGAGATAGTACGTAAGGAGAAAGAACATAAGGAGAAAGAATGAAAGGTAACGGAACTGATGGTGATAATACCCATGGACCCAATACTGATGGATTTAGAATAAGAGGAGAAAATATATTTGGAGACAATACGACAGGCCCCAATACAGACAAGCCATAGACAGGAGCAAAAGCATACGGTTCGAGAACTACAGGTGACATAATAGATATGGGTATAGGTAAATTTCTGGTTGATTCAGGTGCCAACGGAGTTTCGGTGGGGATTGCCTGTCGCTTCTCTCGGACTTTCTCCTCCTACAAATGGTTCGATTTGCATTATTTTTTAAATTCATTATTTAATCTTTAAGTGTGTTATTCACCTTGCCGTATGCCATTTCCTCAATTGTCGCCCAAAGAGAAACCCATCGCTGTGACATGGACATATCCTTATACTGAGTCAGATTGAAGTTAGTTTTATAATTATTCAACCCTGAAAAGTGAATGAGAGAAATATGTTGGAGAGAGGTGGATAAAGAGAGAGGGAGGGAAGATATACCATGTTCGTTATGTAGCTTTTCGATTTGATTGGATTCCAAGAACGCGAAACCGTCCTCTTTGAAATCAGTTTTCTGTTTCTTGTCGAATGATTTTTTCATTTTCTTGAATGTTTCCGAAATATTGTTTGAAACTTCGATGAGAGAATCAGAAATACCGAAGGACTGCATATGTTTCAATACCTTTAAAGGTTTTCAATGATCTCTTAGCCATCATATCCGTTTCCTACCTTCATGGCACTTTCGACTGTTTTTCTTGCTCCAGACAGCTCCATGATCGTTTGCAAAATGATATCTTGATCTTCCTTCTTCATTCCTGTTTCTTCTAATATCTGAATCGGAAGACCTCTCATTTTCGAATTTATTTCCTACCTCTGGGATGGGCAAAATCTGATCCTCAGATTCATCCTTGTACAAAGGGAATATTGCTGGAGACAGAAGCTGTTGACGTCTCTTGTCGTCAGCCACGACGGGAAACAAACGAGGGCTCAAGATTCTCATATTGTTTTCCTTTCCAGGAGAGATGCTTGTGATGAGTTCGAGAATCCCTTTGACGTCCATGTGGCTCTTCTACTCTTACTCTCTTTTAAATTACAACAAAGTGTGAAGTGTACCTCTTTCCGTCTTGATGTCTCAGTCTCCATCACTATGTCATACATTCTCTTGCTATAAACTAATCGAGAGTTTCTATGTTGTGTCGGTTTTGACATGTGTTTTTGAATGCTCAATAACTTTGAATACGTTTTCATCCAAGTGCTTGCTGTCTCAGAACTATTACTCTTTGCAAAAATAGTTAGAAGCAGGTTGGACATGGTCTTTATGGGTTTGGGATTTGTGCCTAACAGCGATGGTGCTTTGGATAACTTCTTGATCTTAAAGTAGTGACGCTTAGAATGATTATGTTGTTGTTTATGAACATGATTACTTGCAATCGCTTGGGCTCAATAAGTCGATGAGGACTTCGCTTAGTTCGATATGACTTCAGCTTATCAGTACCGAAGCGATATTTGATTCTGTAAAGAAGTAGGATTTGTTTTGTTCCAAAATGCACTGTGTTGTATAACGCCCCTTTCGTGATATGCACACGTATAATGGGGTTCACGAGCATACATAAACCACTGACATCATTACAGTGACGTCAAGATTTTTCGGTCTTTAATTTCAAAAGTGGAGTACCTTCGTCTGTTTAATGAAATTAATGACTTCTCCCATAAATGACGTCGTCGCGCATCATACAAACATTTTGCAGACAGGTGAACTTCTCTGACAAATTTGATCTTATTCAAACAGTTACCGAATGTGTCGATGTTGCCTGTTAAGGTAATGATAACATGATTAGAAGGATGAAGAGAGAAAGATAACATGACACTTACCATAACTCATTTCCTTCTTCAAATGCTTAGCTAGTTGAGCAATCAAAGCCTTGATGGAGTATAAATACCAATTATGATGAAGCTGTTTGATGTTCTGGAAGCCTTGCTCATCCAGCTGTATAGCTTTCAATCGTTTATCAACGATCTCGCCTATAATTGAACAGAGAAAGATAGTTGCATAGTAGAAAAGCCTTACAGCTAATGTGAGGCAAGACATGAAGAATGAGGATTAGAAATCCCAGCTTACTCACCATTCGAGTAAAGACAACTGTTGAACGGATACAACTGTGTTGTTAGTAAACTACAAGTAATTAACCTAATTTCTTTGTTCAATTTAACTGCTTGTTGATTCGAGACGTTTAATAACACGCGGCGACTAGTGTTATAACTTCATCTAAGTACAAGCTATCTAATTCAATTAACTTTGGATCAGAAAATCATTTACTAAAAAGAAAAAAAATGATTTGAGATGCTGTGTTTCCCCCTGTTTTCCTTTTTCTTTCATTCTTCAACGTTCAATTCCCTTTTTCATTAACGTAAATGTAAAAAAAAAAGGAGAAGAAAGTTGAAATGCAACCGCCCTGTTCGATCTGCGATATGAGACTGATCATTGACGCATCATAATTTGAATTTATGCTAATTAGTTGAATCAATCGATAATATTTATTATATGGAGGCAATGATTGCAACGATTTATAATTCGTCTTATTAATTATTATTAATTAATTAATTAATTATTATGATAATATACTTGGTGATAGAACAGTAGCCATGAGAACTGATTTTGAGAGAATTGAGGGAGATGCAACACCGGGTGATAGAATCGCTCCTCCCAAGACCATTGGTGACAGTACATCCGGACATAATACTGTTGGAGACAATATCAACGGAGATAATACGTATGGATTTATCACATTAGGAGATAATACGTACGGAGTGAGGATGAATGGAGCAAATACTAGTGGCGATAACACATATGGGGATAACAAGTATGGCGAGAGTATGAATGGCATTCCAACACCTGGTGATAACACATACGGTGATAGTACGCCTGGATTGAGGATGAGAGGAGAGAAGAGAGATGGAGATAGTACCTGAAAGAAAGTATGTTAATTATGCTATGATTCTTCCGGCTGTCTGTCTTACTGTTGGTCCGAGAATAGATAAACCATATATGGGTGAAAACATATAAGGTGATAGTACGGTAGGATTGAGGACTGCGACTAAAGACCTTTTCGTTCTATCATTTGCCTGAAAGTTGAAAATTTGTTTTTACTCACTCCTTTGATGATTAGCTTACAGTCGTATTTCGAGCAATCAAACGAACTTTGTCCCACAAACCATTCTCTCTTTGTTCGCTGGTTTGATTACGGTAGCTTTCAAGATTGAAACCATCTTGGAGGTCCAAACGAACACCTTGAAATGATAATTGAAACAGCTTATTATCTTGTTCTGATACCCTGTTTCGTATATATATCTTCTATTTGGTTACTTTCTAAGAAAGTAAAACCACGTCGATCCATGTCAACTGTCTGTCGATTGTTGAAGGACTAAGAGAAAGGAGATCAGTGGTTGTTTCAGTATAGTTCTCAAACTTTCTTCAATTCATCAAAATTTTTTTCGATTCTCTCAGTAACTTCAATCAGTTGTCCATCTAAGCCAAAAAAGTTCATATTCTCAAGAACTTTCATGGCGTCGTCAATAGTGTCACGAGCTCCAGATATATCCATAATGAGTTCCATGACTAATTCGCGATCCTTCCCTTGTAACCCCGTAATTTCCAGCAGCTAAACAGAGTTTATCATCTTTTGAACCCTCGATCAGTTTTTTTTCGAATTCGCTCTATTAGACATTGAATGAATGCCAAAAAAAATATAAAAATAATGGGGAGAGTGTTGCAAACAGAAAACTTTGGAATGAAGTTCAATGTAATATATCTTTAAATAAGGTTGCGGGGGGAAGAGAACCTTATTTATGATTTCGAAAGAAGTGGAGAGAAGAAGAGAGAAACATAAAAGGAGGAGAAAGGAGAGAGATTTAGCGAAGTGGAAGATGAAGAGAGAAAGAGAGAGACAGACTCAATTTCTCTATGATAACGATTCTCATAAGAAAACACTTTTTCTTTCGTCACGGTAATCCGAAAGATCAATATTTCAAAGACCGTTAGATGAAATCCGTAGAAGCTTCATACCTTCGGAATTGGAAGAATCTGTTGTTCTGTGTCATCGTTATAAAAAGGTAGAATGGATGGTGATAGACTCCCTGTGACGTCCGATTTATCCGGCATCACCGAAGCAAAGCGTGGACTGAAATTCGATAAAGGTGTCAAAATTTGGATAACAGCCTGTTCAGCAATCAAACCTTAAAAACTTTAAATTTGCATTTTTCTGGAACTTCCTCCCGGAATTCTCGACGGTTCCTATCAATTGATATGCTTCTCGAACAATTGGTGGTAGTAATTGCTGCAAGCGATATTGATTAGAGGAGTATGGTGATCATGTTGTATCATGTTGTATCTCCCTCTTCCCCCACCCCTCTACCCATTAGTAGAGTTTATAAAGATCAGAATGTGAGGACCGTTAGATTGACTATAAAAAGAGATTTTATGAGACTCTTTACGGTAGTGTACAGGAAATGCGCGGAACTTTTTGATCGAGAATGAGAACATTTTGGTCGTTTGATGGCAAAAGAACCTTCAACGGATTTGAGATGAGGATGTCTCTCAATCACAAAAACCTTTTTTTCAAAACTTTTTTTTTGGAAAAAATTGGATTCGAGCGCATGGGAATAGCTAAGAGATCAAATAATCAAACAGTCATCCTGCTTGACAGACTTATTGGAATGAATGATAATAGATTTTCCTTTTTCTTTTCGTATAAGGAAAAAGGTGTTATCGGGATATGAAAAGTGAAAACAGCTCTCATGTATGCGTCTTGTTTACCTTCTGAGCTTCTGAATAAGAAGATGCTTCTTCACGATCTAATACAAGATCCAACATTCGCATATCATAGACCTTGGCTCCTTTCTCCTTGGCTCGAATGTCCATGGCTTTCTTGACTCCCAATAACTTCTTATAGCTTTCAGTCCATTTCTTTCTTCAAACCGATAAGAGATTTCAATTCATATTCCATTTGAAACAATCACCTCTTCTGCGCTTCTTCCTTCTTATCAATGAGAAGACGGATCATGTTGACCACTTTCTCAATGGCACTCTTGTCAGCTGTCTTTAGATTCGGCATTTTTTCCATTTTCTTAACCTGAAGTACACAGGATATGCCTTGATTAGGATTTTCTGACAACTAACGTAGAAACCCTCGCTTCCATCTGATTTGCTAACCATATCAGTGACTAGGCGGTAAGGACTTCTCTTGGCTCGACGTCTTAGATGTCTCATGAAGTTTACTTTGTTCAATTTTTCCTTCGCTGATTTTTCTTTTTTTTGCAATTCCTAAGAACCTACGTGAGAAAAGACTATTTCAACGATTCTACCTTCAAAATCTTCTTCAGTCGTATGAGCTTCGACTGTTTTTTTCCAATTTTTCTGATCAACAATGGTTTTCCGATTCCAGCGTTCACCTTCGCAGATTGTCTGAACAAAAAAATTTTTTCTCACTTCGTATATTCGCTTTGATTTCTTGAACTCACGATTTCATTGTCATAACTGAAGAATATCCCTCGTTTTCTTGATTCTGGATATGTTTGATCTCATTTGTAGACAATCTTAAACCAGATTTTTGTAATGAAAAATAAATTATTATTAAAATAACCTTATGGGTTTTTGATCCATCTTATCCTTTGCTTCTACCACACAACGAGCTGAGTATACTAGATCTTTGGAATCTTTTATCTTGTTTAAACATTTGTAGAATGTCTTTCGATCAGCTGAAGCGAATAGTACCATGCATGTGGTTAACTATAGCACATGTGTACCTCTGTCCAAGTTCTTATAAACATCTTTGCCTAGTTGTCCTATTAGAGCTTTGATAGAGTGAATGTACCAATTGCTATGTATTGTTCTCATGCGATCAAATCCTTTTTGATCTAAGCGAACTTTCTCTATCACTTCACGTCTATCTGGTTGTCCTGGCGGTACATGGCAATTACCTTAAACGGATGAACGTTCAAGATGATGATCCTCATCACTTACCAATGCTTAACAATGAAACTAATAGTAAGAGGGATGTTCTCATTACTGTAAGTATTTGCTAGTCTACAGTATTCTTCACTCTACTGTACTACAAGGATTCTAGTCCTAGCAGAGCTATAGGTTCTCCTGAAATTGAAAATTTTCAATTAGAAGGTCTTGTTTCATTCGGATATAATAAAGAGTGAGAAAAAAAGGAAGACGAATAAGAAAACGAAGCGTGTGGAGGTCAAAAGAAGATATTTCGGATGCTGGCTCATGATCTGGTGATAATAAAGGAAAAGAGAACGCATTTCTCATCTTTGCCTTAAGATAAGGAATGCCTAGAAGATCCTTAATAAAGAGAAAGGAAGATCCGTCTCCATTCCACCTTTCATGGCTTTCAGTCTTCAGTCTTTATATAGCAACGATGCAAACACTATTGGAAACATAAAAAAGTTGGAAAAAAAAGATTTGAAAAGAGACGAGCCTGGATCTTGAAACGAATGATGTTGTTAAACAGAAGTTAATTTCTTCCAAGGACTTGAAAGGAACTTTCTGATTTCTGATATGCTGAGGTCAGAATTTTATGTTTAAGCAAAAAAATCTTACTTGACCCATTTTGATTTCTGATGATTCGCTGCAGACTTGTGAGTTTCGTTAACTACCAGCTTGAATGGCCATGCGATCATGAATCGTTTATCAGCACGCTAGTGGCTATTCTACTGTACAATGTATACACTCAAATATTACTGTGGAAAGTGAAATCCATAGAATTGAAAGCACCTTATTCAGAATGAACGTATTTGCAAACCAATGACCTCAGCTGAATTTGTTCACACATTATAATTTTCGTTGTTGAACTGCTTTAATAAGCGGATTTCATATCATTTTTCTGTCATAAACCATGTAAGGTAGTATCTTCGAATATAATGACATAGCTTGTTACTCATAGATGCTTTTCGACAGATAGATGGAGTTCACGTACTTCACGTGAGAAGTCCGGACTGTAACACTTCAAGTTCATTTTAAACGCGCTGCACGCACTGAACGGTTGTACTCTCCCCAAGCTGTTTTCAAATTACGCAATAAACCGTTTGTCGATATTTGCATATTTTATCTTGTTTATTAATTATGACAAAGTATTTTCATCTATTTATTGTTGCCCTTTTCCAGATGATGATGCTGAACGATAGTTCTGATGATGATTGTGACTTCTATGTTTCGGAAAAACATTATTCAGAAGGTCTCTCTCGTGCTCTTGCGAATGGTAACGATCCTGATCGTGATTTTTATAATTTTTCAGTGGATACCGAAGCTGAAGTTTTCTATACTATTTTAATTAGCTTCATCAAATTCTCTCAGGTTTCGACTCTAACAGACGTTCCGGAAAATTCGAATTCAGATGTATCTGACGCCTATATTGAATCAGTTAGTTTCTGCTATGAAATAGCGTGCATTCATCGTTAAGGAAGAGGAAGAAGTAATCGCAGGTGAGCCACTCACCGCACTTATGGAATATCATCGAAAGTCTTTACTTTTGAATGAGTTGTGTTCATATATTCATGATTACAACCAGTATATCTCTGTTTTTGGCGGTGAACTGTTAGCAATGAGGCGAGAATGATGAAATTCGTTATGAAATACTTCTTCATGTTTCAGATTGTCGTTGAAAGAAGAGGTTGAGCTATTTCTGTTTATCTTATAACGGTTTCGCATCCCATTCAGACACTATCTGACAATGCGAACCTGAGAAAGCAACTATCACGCTGTCGGAAACAGGCAGAGTTCTGTAGGAAAGTCGGAGATTTGCTATGCAAGTTTCTAGATGTAAGCTGCTAATTAGTTAAGAACTCCTAGTATATCACTTCAGATCAATACTTATGATGAGAATTACAAGCAACTGGAGGCCGAAATTAAAGTTTTTGAAAACTTGCCTGTAGGGTTATTTGAATCTTTAACTCATACCACTTATTACAGTGGACCTCTTTCATAACCGATGATGTGTTCATGAATCCTACTACTGGCCTGGCTTGGAAGTTCATTGGTGTTTTCCAGAAGTTCGATAATGTCACCAAAACTTTTCTCAACCAGTTCCTAAAATATGTGTAAGTGCTACCATCGTCTTGTATTTCTCATGTCTCTCCAGTGACTTGATCAAACTTTATAAAGAAAGTGGAGATTTGGAAAACATTTGTCTGCATAAGGTGAGAGTTTTGTGTACAGTTTGTATTCGTGAAGCATATTTTCCAGAAGGAAACTCAGATGGCCTCCTTGACACGAAGTTCTCTCTTACTTTCTCATGTCACAAACAGATTGACCAACGAAATGAATAATTACCAAGCAGCCTTGGGATTCAGTATCATCAAAACTTTTCTGAACTTCTACCAATACTTGTGCAGCTTCTTCAAGAAACTCTTTCCCTTTGTGTATATCTTTTAATTCCATTTGTTCTGTTTGTATAAAACGTTTTTCCTAGGATTCATTCCGTCTTTCCGTTTTATAGTTAATCTGTTTTGCTCTTACGGATACTTATTAAGTTGTTGATATTGTTTTCTTGTGAATAAAGCTACGAACTACTCCGCCCACGTGTCTCATTTGCATAATTCAGATTTCCACGGCAGAGACTCAGCCAATAGCGAGAGCCCACGTTAGTCTCACTTATGCTAATTTACGTTAACTACGTGCTTGTTTTGAGAACGAGCGTCATTTGTTGAATTAAGTACATACAGATAGGTTGTCAGGTGAATATTTCAGGATTTTAGAGTACGTACAGATAGGCTGTCAGGTGAATACTTCAGGATTTTCGAGATTCAAAATTTTCATTGTTTAGGCCTGTTAAGACAATTTATGACTTTCATTGATGAAACGCACAGAAAAAAAGACAACTTTCAAAACGTAACACGTATATGCTGGAGGAACCCGACAGAACAGTTAGGATGACGAGGTAGGAAAACTTTTGACCACTCCGTCGTATCTATCTGTTAGCTTGTTCATTCTAATAGTGATCGCGTCCATTTCACATGCCCTAAAGTACGCATATTTCATAGTATCTAACTACAGATGTGTCTTACATTTTGTTCATAGTGCTCAGTCTGGAACTTACGGAGGGTTCGAAAGAAACTGCTGGCCCGAAGCACTTCCTTTTTTCATCTGCTATAGCGATAGAGAGCTAAAATTAGTATGATAGACAGAGCCTTTAGTGTGTAGCTACCTGAGGCAACTTGACTGCGTAATTTAGCACTTGGTTCTTGTAATCTTTCAAAACTGACATCATTTTTTCTTCCTGACTGTTTAATGGCATAGTTCCAGCTACTCTCGTGGTAAGCTTGAACAAATCTGTTATATGTTGTTACTATCTACTAACTGTGGCTAGGCGATTAAACAGTTGGCGAAGAGCAGCTTGTTTCTTCTCCATTCTGTACTTGAGGTCGGCTACGCCATCAAATAACTGAAATTAGTGTTATGTTCCGAGTTGTTGATGGCTACTCACGTTTAGAAGTCTTTCGTTGAAGCTTTGCCTCAGCTTTTCGTTATTTTCTATCTCGGGCTTAATTGCGACGAGCCTTGAAAAAATAAGAATTTATTATCACTCCGAACATCCCACCTTTTCAACGCTGCCTTGCTAGCTTCTCTGTTCGTTCTTAAGTTCTCGGTAAAATGATTAATCCACTGCTCAGTTTGCTTGATTCTTTGTTCTTCTGGTAATGATTGTAAAGACACAATTTTGGCTAAGATATGCTTTCGGGCCAGAAGAGGGTCAATGCAAGATTCTTTGAATGACACGAAATCATTATCTTTCGTTTTTTCATTGGCAGGCCTGATAGATGAACCAACTTCGCATCTGGAATACTTTGCATGAAAGCATGGCACTGTTCAACTCACTTCAAGAACGCAGTAGTTAAGCGTGATTCTGAGAAAGATGTCACGAATAGTGATATTATTTCTTCTTCTTCTGCTGTACTACAATTTGTGATCGCAACCTGTCCTAGATCTTCCCGATCTTGAAGTTGCAACATTATCTCAAAAAGTAAAACAACAGACTTACTCTCATCTGTTGTACAGGATACTGCTAGTGCATGAAGCCTGCTATCAGGCAGGGCACCTGCTGAGCTACCCTCGCTAAAGCGGACTGTTTGTTAGATACTGTTCTTATTATCATCCTACCTTTTCAATTCCTGTCCATACAGAATGATCCAGGGTCGTATATCCATAAAATACAATCTATGCTCTGCTGAAATGAGATAGGAGCAGGTTCTATCAGAAGCCAACAAGGCTGATGTTTTTGTAGAAACAGGCAAAGCTACTTGCTCATGAATGGAAGCGCTGAAGAGTTAAGTAGGGTTCAGAGCATATCTGATACTGGACTGTACCTTATTTCAGTTCCGGAGTCTACAATAATTAAGTGCGAGAGAACTCCACCAAGAGATGGAGTGAAGATAGTCACTACGGTGAATATCTAAACAGTTCTTTGTGAGCCATATTTCGATAGTGTCATACGTCTGAGAAAGGATGTGGAATACATTTGAGATCTACGGGATCACATGGGAGTGTGGGAGGAGTGATAATAGGCTTGATGATGTATGACCTATCAGTAAAGGACACGTACGCTTCAACATCAGGTTGCGAATTAACTCCGGAAAGCGAAGCTATGTACATGTCGCTATCACTGTCGATTGCGATCAATCTGAAGTCATAGCTGGATGGCAAAAAGTCGAAAGAGGCTGAAACGAAATGAGTGTCCGATGATCAACGCCAAGTTATAACTACCGATTTCTTTCACAAAACCTAAACGAGTTCCTTGATTCACCTCTGCGCATAATAGAGGCAGGAACTCAATCGTTACCGATTGTGAATAGTCATCAATTGCGCTCAATGAGAAGAACCTTAGAGCCATAAAATTAATGAGAATACTAATAAGACGTCTCACCGGATGGAGGAATCAGAGAATAGGACGGCTAACTGAGGAAGTGTAGAATTAGGAACCATCCGCTCACATACAGTTGTCAGACGATTATTAGATTGTAAGCATCGGTGAATGAGCACACACCTGGAAATCATTTTAATTATATGCTTTCTAGCGTTGTAATGGCATACTCGCAAAAATATTCTGCTCGTGTTGGTCTCATTGTATGAACTTCCGGGCTAACAAGAACCACGAATATTTCTCTTAGGGATATAAGAACGATCCTGAAAAACGAGTGTTAGCCAGGGAAGATACTTTTTCACAAACTTGGAGCCATCGGGTACTACATGAATTCTCAGAATTTTAATACTTTTATCAATGGGTGAAACTGGATTGATTTTCTGGAAGCTCTGATTGCACACGTTTGATAAACTCCGAACTTACCACACAGTTCTTCACATCTATAGATTCTTCTTTTCTGTTGAACCCATACAAGATGGTTATAGCTTGTTCGTCGTAAATAGCCAAGCCATTATCTTTGTAGCTACATATTTTCGAAGTTTTTGTTAAAGCGGAAGCATATCCTTCGAGAGACCATTTCATTTTCTATAATATGGTTTTGGATCTTGACGTTTTCAAAATGGAATGTATAGGAACAGATAAAGAGACTGTGATAGAGGAAAATGAATAGTTAGGACAATCTTTATCTTACAGTATACTTTAATTATAATACAATTACGAGTGCGTTACAACTGAACTGATTAGTCTTCCTCGTTGTTGTTATTATTGTTATTCGCATTATCTGCATTATTATCATTATTGTTGTTATTCAAATTACTGCGGTAAAACTGCACATTGTCGAGTACGTCTTCTATGGCTCTTTGAGAGTCCATTTCGGAAGAGCAGCGCATTAGATGCCGTACTGGTTGATCAAACCTTAATAAAAAGAAAATGAAAGGAAAAAAAAGAGAGACTAACGTATTCTTCTTGGAACTTAAAATAGTTTTTTCATAACTCTCATTATATTTTGGTGGAATGAGACCCTAAATGCATTTTTTTCAATTAATTCTGATGTTTTTTGTCCTCACCTGTGCAACTAGCGTCTCCCTTATGCTGTCTTTCAAACACTCCAAATCGTCATTTTTTAATTCAATCGCAGTCAGAGGACGTTTCAGCATATTTATTCAACTAATCTTATCCAAATAATAAAAAACTGAAAGAAAATATAGAGTTGAAGCATGAGGAAATCAGTAAATAACATAGCGTCTTATTCAAATGACTGCCTGTTCAAAAAGTAAAGGACTGCTTCCCGGTGCTCTATTGCTAATTTACGAAACATGTTATTCTATTTCTGAAATAAATAGTTTTAATTCTCATTTATTCATTTTCAGAATGTATATGAGAAGAAATAACAATAATTTCGATAATAATTCGAACAGACACAACAATGCGAATTATACTAAACGAAGGTATAATGAAGAGGAACAAACTCAGGAAGATTATGCAGAGGAAGATGTCAAAGTAGAAGAAGGTTCGCAAGGTTGGCTATTATACATATAATCACTTCTCCTACTTTTTAATATTTGTTCAGAACAGTCAGAAGTAAAGAAACCTAAACTTTTCAACAAAAACTTTGAACGTAAACAATGGCGATTAATAGTCAGAAACTTACCTTTCGCGGTCTGTTCAGTTTCTCTTGATAGTTTTCAATTTTTGTTTTTAGACCAAGGTAGAAGATCTCCAAAACGTTTGTTCTAAGTTCGGTCGTTTCAATGAAGTCGTACTTCCACCTTCCAAGACTCTACCTAAAAAGTTGTTTACTTGTTGCTTCTCTCAAACATGATATTTTCTTTAAAGATGCGCCGGTTTTGCGTTCATCCAGTTCCTCGAGAAAGCTGATGCTGAGAAGGCGAAAGAGCATTTCAACTCAAACAAGTTTATGGTTAGTATTGATTTTTTAGAATTACTTCTCTGTCATTCTTTTTGTAATGTTCATAACTCATGTTGTTTTCAGAATAGAAGTGTTGCTGCTGATTGGTCTTTAGCGAAAGATGCTTATGAAACTGCTAACCATGACGGTATTTCATCCGATTTTATTTCATATAAAATGATAATGTTCAGAAAAACAGAAGCTTAAAGAAAAAGTGAAAATCGAGAAAGCAGAAGATGAGAAAAAAGATGGTAAAACCACGAAAGTTAAGAAGTTCGAATCTGATGAAGAGGATGAGGAGGATCAAAGTGACGAAGAAGATGGCAGTGAAAATGGAAGCGATGATGACAATAGGTGAGCTATCCTTACATTCATTTATTACCATTTATTCTAGCGATGAAGAATTAGAGGAGGAAGATAATGACTCTAATAAACGTCCAAGACGTACTGACAATGCTGTCGAAGAAGGTCGCGTTGTTTTCCTTAGGTACGATATCCTAGAATTTAATAAGTTACTCGTTTATTTAAGAAATATTTCATTTGACACAGAAGAAGATAAGCTCAAGGAGGAAATAGAAATGAAAGTCGCAGAAGTGGACTTAGCTATTATTTGTAAATTCAAAGATAGTGGTCATTCTAAAGGAACTGCTTTTGTCCATTTCAAAACCCCGGAGGATGCACAGAAATGCATAGGAGCTTCCGCGATGGGCGAGTTATTCTTAGGTTTGCTACTCGTTACATTTTTTATTCAATTGATTATTCTCCAGATGGCAGACCTCTCAATGCGATACTTGCTCTGCCTAGAGAGAAAGCCGAAGAAATGGAGAAAACCAAGTTGACTAAAGTGCCCAAAGATAACCGTAATCTTCGACTTCTTCGTTTCGGTTTGATTCGTGAGGGAACTACTGCTGCTAAAGGAATGAGCAAAGAAGTTTGAGAAGTTTATAATAACATTTTCATTTCATAAATTATAGGATGCTGCGAAGAGAGTTAAGCTTGCAGAATCAGCTAAGAAGAAGCTGGAAAATCTACATATGTAAATTTATAATATTGATAGCTTGAAATTAAAATTTTTCAGGTTTGTATCTCCTGTCCGTTTAGTTGTTCATAACCTGCCCGTAAATATGAATGACTACAAGCTACGAGATATGTGCAGGTAAGCTGAGCAGTTTTTGTCTCAATAATCTGTTTTTTTCCAGAGATGCGGGTGGTGAGGGAGCCTTTGTAACAGAATGCCGTATATGGAGAGATAAAACAGAAGATGTCGTTTTTTCTTTCTTTTTTCTGTGTAACTGTTTTTGTTTTAGAAACTAGGAAAATCTAAAGGATTTGCTTTTGTTAACTTCGATGAGCACAAGCATGCCCTTGCTTGTTTAACGAAGATGAACAATGATCCCAAAATGTTCACAAACGATAAAAGGCCAATCGTTGAATTCTGCATAGAAAACTTGGCAGCCATTCAGGCTAAGGTTTCATACATTTACCGATTGCATCATGCGTAAACCAAACACTTCAGGAACGCAGACATTCTAGTAGAATTGGGGATAAGAGTAGCTTCAGAGAAATCAATGAGAAAGTTAGACAACAGGTAAAACTCTATTATTTAGAAGATACTTCATAGAGAACTTTTCAGATTAAAGATTCTGTTGGAGAGATTCATGGTGCTGGTATGAAGTTCTTACCTAAGTTCTTAGGTAAAAAGTTGAGACACAGAGATATGACTAAATCTCAGAAGAAGAGATTGAACGTTAAGACTACTGTAAGTTCAAATAGTTCTGCTTGAAAGAGACGATTTTACAGGGTAAAACTAAGGGTGGAAAAGACGCTAAGAGTGATGGTAAGAAAGGAGCTGGCAAGAAGGGAGCTGGTAAGAAGGGTGATGCAAAGAAGGGCAGCAAGGGTGAAGTGGAGAAAATCGGAAAAGGAGTGAGAAAAAATAAGAAACAAATGACTAAATATTTAGCATTACGTTAGAGTATATTTTATTGTTATCCAATTGTTATGAACTTGTTGATTTTTTTGTTGTTAAAATTTTTTTTGTCTTTTTTTTTTCAATTTGCTAAAGGTTTTCTAAACCTCCGGTACTTGCATTTTCCTGCTGATATTAACTGATTTTTTTGTTTTCGAAGCTTCTACAAATGCTCAGTGAGTTTAGTTTGGAAATATTCTAACATAGTTAGTTGGGCAAACGAAAAAATCCTTTTTCATTCCCTATTTGACACAAAACGGTTGCATTCTAACATTTTTAGCTTAGCTTAGGTTCATCCTCTTGTTCACAAACAAGCTCCTCCCGTTTCTTTCCGTTTTCTATTTCAAATGGATATGCGTTGTGAATTCGTTTTTTTTTGGTGTGTGGGAACGTTAAATTCCTCACTCGTTTCGTTTTCATTCTATAATAACATGATTTGATGTATCCGAAGCATCTTATATATAAGTTAAGGATCAGCTGTTTCACTACAAAAAACATTCACTCGAAGCATGAGCAAGTTTTACGATTTCACCGTCAAAGACGCAGCCGGTCAGGATGTTACCATGGAGAAATACAAGTGAGTGAACTTGAATTTTGTTGAATATTCCATATTCTTAGGGGGAAAGTTGTCGTAGTCGTCAATGTTGCTTCTCAATGCGGATTGACTGAGTCTAACTACACTCAACTGAAAGTATTTGCTAATTCAGAATAGTAAATATGCTGCATAATTATAGGAACTTCTAGACGTATATCACGAGCAAGGTCTGGAAGTTTGCGCATTCCCTTGTAATCAGTTCGGAGGGCAGGTTAATCTCTCATATTGTCATCAATTTCCTGACTTTTCAAATGTAGGAGCCATCTTGTGCTATCGATGTTCAATCCTTTGTCACCAACAAATACAAATTTGAGCCAGATCTTTATGATAAGATTGATGTGAACGGAAACTCTGCTGCTCCTTTGTACAAATTTTTGAAGAAACAAAAGGTGAGTATTCCGAGAAGATTAGTTTTTATTTTATTGTCGCCAAAATTGCGTTCTGTTAAACAAGCCTCCAAACATCTTTTATTTTAAAATTCCAGGGCGGTTTCCTTGTGGACGCTATCAAGTGGAATTTCACCAAATTCCTGATTGACAGAGATGGAAATGTTCTCAAAAGATTCGGTATATTATAAGTTTGTATTCTGATTTACGCCCAAATTCAGGACCTAACGATGAGCCCAAGACTATGGTGAAGGATATCGAGGCTGCTTTGCATCCAGCCAAGCTATAAATATGTTCATATAATCTACGTAAATAGTGTACACATACATAGTTGAAGGGGGGAATTTCTAACTGTAGAACAACCCTAATTCAGCTTCCTCCTAATGTAATAAATTCTTTTAATAAGCGCTCGTTCAAGATTTCCATTTGTTGTGATGCAAATACTTCCATGCCGTATATTTGACGCACAGTGTAAGTATGAAATGCACATGGTGGTTCTGTTTTTCCAACTGCTTTTCACTTGCTCGTGAAAATTTTGGCACTATTGTATTTGCACTCTCGTACCCATGTTCGAATTTCGGATGTTTTGATATTTTCAGATGGACCAATCTTTTGTTCTCACCGATGGTTTGAAAAAAATATTTTCTGAGTTCTCTTCGTTGCAAGAGTTACCACACGCTTTTGATGATTCCCTGATCTCGAAGCTGGTAGATCATCTGGAGATTGGTTCGTTTTCTTAGGTGTAAATTATGGTTTGATGGGTTCCAGATGGAAATATATGTCGCTGTGTACTAGATGAATTGGAGACTAAACCTTTTTCGAAACATTCCAAAGTTTCCAGATCATTCCTTTCTAAGTTAACCGAGAAAGCCATTCAATCTGAGGTAATGGCCAGATGTGTCAGACACCCCGTTAACCTATTTTTGTTGAGTTTATTGAACATCAGCATTCTATAGAAACTTATGTGGAAAAGAGCTTGGAGGATATAGTAAGTGAAGAGAACTCGGAAGCATTGTATGATATTCTGCCAATATGCATAGCTTTATACAAATCGAGGGGCCCTCCGAACAGCTAGGTGCACTACAGAAACACTCAAACTTATGCGTTTTAGATTTAATACAGTTATGTCTATCATTCCTACCGGATGAATCCCTTAGTATCTTTGCTAGGAGGAATTTAGAAGACTTAGTATGCCTTGTTTCATCAGACATCGAAGAGGAGACTCTGAACACAATAGTTCAAATGTTTTGTGCAACCGTTAGTACAATTGATAACCAGTTACTCAATCTTCTCATCCAGAAGTTCCCTTTAGTTCGAAACGGACTATGTCGAGTACTAACAGCAAAGAAGGATAGCCTGACAACTCAAGCTCGTTATCGCCTTATTTCCGACGTTCAACAATCACGTGTAGAGGGAGAAATAGTATACAAGCTGATTTCTGATATCATGTATAACGTGTTATGGTCACGTTTACGTATTAATTGGTATATTACAGAGATGATCTTTCTATAAGTACTGATCGTAATTCTTGGAGTTCCGAAATCGTTCGAACTTCGATATGCTTGAATATTGTTAAAAGGTGAGCTATGAAGTGAACTGCCAAGAAATTAGAATAACCGCATTCCACGTTCCATTCTGTTGGGAAGGGATATTAGCATACGGCGTGTCATTCATGAAGACGCGTTGTGGCAAGGCGGTTGCATTCTTTGAATGTCTTGTTAATGCTTTTTAATTTTTCATAACTTACAGGCTACAAGATGAAGGAATACGAACACAAATCGCTCATTCAGTCTTGAACATCGCTCGTCCGAAGCTGCGACATTTCACAGAGTTGCTGCCTTTCCTGCCCGAGACGGTCTCTTTTATGAAGTCGAAGTAATCACTATAATCATTCTTCAGATAATCAAAGATATGTTGTCAGTTTTTTCCAAGCAGTTCGAGAGCAAAACGCTTTGTCCCTTTTCTGACATTGTAAAGTGAGTCATTTTTGTTCTATTCATCGTCCTTCTCACACTATTCGTTCCAGTTTTCTTGGAGCTATTTGTACACGGGTAGAAAGAAATGAATTCTTTTCTCTTCTGGATCATTGTACATCAAGATTGTTTGTAAGTCTAGCTACATGTCATTTCTTTAATTTGAATTTAGGATTCTCCTGCAGCTCTTGAGAAGGTACAAGAAGCCTTTGGCAGTGAGGTCATTGATGATGAATGCATGAAACATGTTAAAGAAGCTTTGGTTCCTTCTATCAAGAATGGTATTCCATGAATACCTCTGAATACGTTAACTACTTTATTTGTAGCTATGCAAGAAACACAATGGGAGGAGAAGGATACCGCTATTGAAATTGCTATACTCTTTCCATCCTTGATAGAGTACTTAGGTAATTCACGAAAAACAAAAACGAGAATCTTTGAACTGGTTTAGGAGATTTGAATGAGCTTATTCTTAAGAACAGTTCGCCTTATGTAAGAGCTGCTGCATTGCGATGTTTCTTGAAGCATGGTTCTAAAAATGATGAGGCTGCATCTCTCTGTCTTTCTGTTTTCAATAATGATAATGATCAAGAACCACGACGAATGGCGATTTCGTATTTGGAGGCAATACTTCCAAATAGCTGTGACGAAGCTTTTTCTATTTTGGGTAAAGCTTTAGAAGATCCGGATATTGATATTCGCAATTGTATTATTTCAATTTGTCAGAAGGCTCTCCTCCATAACCCTCTTTACAAGGTTAATGTAGTGAAAGAGCTAAATGAATGGACTGAAGATCCAGAAATAGGTTCGAAAATACGAAGTTTGCTCCATCCAGACAGCATATCATCAGTCTCGGAGCCTCTGGAACATATTCTAGCTGAGATGATGATAGGGTTATCAATTGGTTGCACTGAAGACATAGATTGTTACTGATTAATAAATAATTTATTATTTGGCAAAAAAAGAGATGAAAGTGTTTTATTCACTTGAATGTTCATACTTCGAATGTGATGGAACACTGCGATCGGCATATTAAAACTAATTTAGGCATAAAGACAAAAGAACGGAAATAGAAATCTGTGGCTGACTTGAAGTCATTTCAAAAACAATGGAGTATCATAGGTTAACGATATGAGTTTAATTAAGCGGCGATCACCAGAAGTACTTTGTGATTCGATTCCCCGTATAGTTGTGCACATTTTCATTGTTTAGCTTATTGTGTCTTGGCTGCATCCTTCTTTGGCCTAGTAGTCAGGTAAGCCGTGTTGAAGAAGCTGGAGAACAAAATGAGGAAACTAGCATATATGGCGAAGCAAATGGCTAGGTTGTCGTAGGATTGCTGACAGAGCTGAAGTCAAATTATCAAAGATGAAAGGTTCTATAAATAGTTAGCTTACCTGGCCGTTTAACTTGATGAAAAGTACCAAGACCGAGATTGCAACTCCGATAAGCATTTGAGCGGTCTGTAGAGCTGTTACGGTCCTAAAAAAATCAATTGTAGACCCGGAAACAAAATTTATACAAATTACATTGATACTATTTTAGGAAGACGATATCCAAGAGAAGCTATGGCATAGTATGTGTACATAATGGAGTGAACGAAGTAGTTCATCATGATAAACCATCTTCCAGCTGCTGTGAGTTCGACGGCTGAAAAGTCCTTTATAGTTGTTCGTTTCATCTTTTGAAGTTATAGGTTGTATTTTTGTTATGAAAAGGGCAGAATAGCCTTAAGCTTTTCGCATAAGCTCTACTCCTAACAGTACTCAGTAAAACGACAAACATTGTACGTGAGATTCCACGTGAATGTTGCGGTTCATTTCCCGCGTAACATTCGAAAGGAACGGTTGTTCTCTTACTATTATGCGTAGTGAATAGTAACTTTTACACTTTCAGGCATGAACAAGCCAAAAATGAACTTATCAAGAGATCAACTATGTTTCTGGCACAATATTCCATATCTTCTCTCGTTATTTTCAAAGTACTCATTGTGTCACTCTTTTAGAGCAAAGTTGTTGTTTGATTAGACCGTTCGGTTAAGTCAATATTGAATGGAAACAAATTGGCAGAAGTTGTTATTGATTGGTCTCATAGTTATGTGGTATGAAGTACCCATCATATATCTGGATAACGTTTTATACTATTTGCAGCTTTAGGTGTATACTTGAGACCAATTGTAACCATCATCCTACTTTAATCGCAAGAACGATTAGAGCGAGAAGAAAGCTAAATAGCCTGAGGTTGCAAGGCTTGGTTTTGTTCCACTTTCTTAAATATAAAACCTTGTTCAGCTATGAAGCAGCGAAAGATAGAAAAGAGTGACGAAAAGGAAGAAAAACGGGAGAAACAACAAGAGGACAAGATGACCAGACGGTATCGTCATCAAAGGCACTGACAAAACCTGTTTTGTCTTGAATGTCTGTTAAATTATGTAGTCTCTTTCATGGAAAAATGTGCGATGTTGTTAAAGAATCAAGCCGTCAGGTCCCAACTTGGACACATTTGAACTCGAATTTGCCTCATTGATTTTTATTTGATATTGATAAGATAATATGCAAAAAGAGATAACCCGTAAGAGAACGAGTTCAAATTTCCAAGTATGGGAGGGAACTGGCAGCAGTTAAAGCATTGAAAGGCTGGGAATCAACTGGACGATCACGTAAGATTATGTGATCTTTGTAATTTGCCCGTCAGGCTTTATCGATTCTTCAACTTTCAGCTCAAAATGATTTTTGGTTCAATGGGCTTTCCCTCTATCTCAGAAATAGAAACGACGTACCTGAGTGCCAGCTGAGGATAATTACTACCGCATGGTGATACCAATGAAGAAAAATAACTGGTCTTTTACGGAGGATCAGGAATAGAGTATCTCCAAACTCTGCGATTTTAGAGAAACTGAAGAGACAGGCCCAAAAAGCTGCTGGTCCACGAGGATCAACAGAGAAACAAATTGAATCCGTGAAGGGCCTATAACAAAAGCTATGATACTCGTTATACAGACCACCAAAAGCGTTTAAAGGGAAATATATTCGAATTCTGTTTGCCCATGAATGAATGGATAGAGGGAGATGACACAAGGTACGACATTCACAACTTAATCACCTGGTCGTTAATATATTCACAAACTCTATCCCGAATCGCCATGTGCCCATTATGCTGAATACTGCCAAGAAGCCATTCCATGCTAACAACAATGCTCTCATACTATAAAAGGACAGAAGCTCAATTGTGTACGAAGAAATATGAACGAGATATGCTCATAGAACAATGTGTTCGGAGGTTTCTTTATTACCTGTAGGGCTTTCTATTTTCCATGAATTTTTGAAGAACATTGACGATGCCGACATAAGCAATGGCTAACCAAATGGAAGCACTCCAGTGTTTCGCGAAAAATGTATGGACGGTCACATCATCCCAAAGTTTTTCGGGTCCGAAGGCTTCATACTTATATGGAGCGTAAAGTATGTTGACTCCATTGCCTGACCAAACGGCATGGTTTCCAGAGTCAGGTACTTCGGCCGACATGCCTAGCCTGCAGAGAATATACAACTGAAGATGAATGGGAAAACGAAAAAGAAGACTTGATGAGAACTTAACGAACATGGTTTGACGTCATAATGAAATTTGATGAATGAAAGAAACAACATCATAGTTCGACGAAATCAGTTTGAAAAAATGGACTTGAACTACAATCGGATTGGATTATCAGCACGAAACGGTGAATGTCAACTGTGTTCGTTAAACTATGAGCAAAACGGTTACGAAAAGAACTATTACAGAAACCGACACAAACTTGGACTGAAACCAACGGAGTGTGGTAGAAAGCACCATAGCACAGTGGCTCTGGTTGGTCTCTTGTCCTATCGGTCGTCCGGGCCCACCCACCCTCTTGTCAACCTCTATACCAGCAGCTCTCTTTATTTCTCTCTCTCTCTTTTACGTATAGACACAAATGAATACAACAGAAGCGGGAACGAAGTGGAGACGTAGAAAGAGACAGAGAGAGAGATAGAAGGAAACTATTGAAGAGGAACGAAAGTGGTAGAGAGAGAGAGAGAAAATGGACCGACCACAATCAGCAGAAAAGGTACCGCCTCCTCCGGACACCTATGCTAATATCGATTCTACACAAAGATCGTTGCCAAACATTAAGGAATTTCCAAAGAAAAAATCATAATCCGAATTTTCAGAATGACAAAAGCGAGATTTGTTTTGAATGATGAACCGAAAAGGATGAAGGGAGAGAGAGAAATATAAAACAACCGCTCTCTGCTATCTGTTATCGGAAAATAATATCTCACGCACTGCGTGAATCTAAGAGTACTTAGCATACGTCAAATAGACTATCAAACATTGGTTCATAAGGGCACATGAGAACCGATAGGTATTGGTCGATAAAACTTGACTTATAGTTTGAGCTTAACAGAAAATTAAAATGTTATCAGTCGGTAAGTTTCAAAGTCAGCACTATTAAGCCGCTCCTATGTTTTTTTATTTTCAGAACAAGTTATACTGCTGGAGAGACATAGCGGAATGTACTTTACCTTGTTCCATGTTCACAAACGAAAGATAGATGATTTTCGGAAATCGAACAACATCATAACCTTTTTTTGATGAGAGGGATTCGTCGTTCACCATGTTCAATGTTCAAAGGTTCAACTATAGTCTATTGCGATTATAAGCGATTGAACCATCTTCATTATTGATCATTGACATCAATAAAGGAGCAGGTGGGAAGCTGGATGGACTAGGTTAGGACAACATGCCATATACTGCCTTGTTAGTCATATGATAAAGCAGAAGCTTTCAATCAAAGCGATCTTAAGAAGCTTTATGATCACAAAGAAGTTTCTGGTCATTTTCATGAGAACAGGAAATGACCTTCTGACAGCCATAGCTTCTTGACGAGAAACCTTTGTAAAGAGAAACATAGGCGACAATTGAATGTGGCAAATTTGTAAAGAGAAAGCAGGTCAATGAAGAGTGAAAACGAAGTTACTTTCTGTTTGCTTTATGTTATCTAAGCTGAGTCGGCAAAGGGAAGTAACACACAACGTGACGTCGTTCATTTCCCAGATTGGGAAGAGATAAAAGACTTCTGAAAACTGAGAGAAATAATCAACCTGCACAGTCTCTATAACATAAATGAAAGTTATCAGATAAAAACTAAGTCTTCATGCAGCGACTTGAGTTTCGGGTTCTGAAACTAGCAGAAGGAATAAACGATCCGTTTCTTTTAGGATTTTCAGAAAGGATCGTAGTTCATTCTTTCGTTCTCATTGACTGGCACCAGACCATATATGTCTGAATAAGGAAACCATGGCAATGGTTGCTGTAAGGAAGCATATGTCTCTGAAAGACTCTAAGACAACGCATGGCAAGAAATAAAAGTATGGTTGTTTGAACAGACTGATACTACATCAAACTAGAGATGGAAACTTAGTCTTACAACTGAAACGAGAGGTGTTTTATTGAAACCAGTCAGGCGACGAGGGGAGTTCTTCCATATTAGGCTATGGGCTTTAAATGTGTGTGTTGCGTCTCTCTATATGGATGAAAGTCCCTTTTTTAATCTGTTATGGGTTGTGTACTTAGCTGTTCTTTCGGGCGGAAGCCTTTCCCACCATTTACAATTTTTTGATTTTGTGTGCAATAGTACGTCACTGGTGTATTTTCGAGGTCACGCTAACTTTTCATTTTTTGTTAAATTAAAGTTATTAATTAGTTTTTTTTTTATTTTTTACTTTTGTATCCTTTTTGAAGTCCTCTAACTTTTTTTCTTTTTTTGATGAAAAAGGATGAGCTTTACTATGCGGCTGCCGAAGCCTTGAAAAAGGTTTCGGAGAAAGTTAAAGGTGTCCAGAATGCAGTTTACCAAAGTTCCTATCAGGTTTGTGATTTGGAAATTTTAAAAAAATGTTTCTCTTAATCATGTCTTTCTCATTGTCTCTTGTTCTTGTGATCCTCATATAGTTACCCTATACTCTTCGGTTAAAGGAGTAATGGAAGGCGACGGCGACGAAAGTAACCCAAAGTGTAATCCATTTGGTACGCGTTATCTAGACGACGAAGCCAGGGTTTGGGATCATAATGCTTGGGACAACGTGCAATGGAGTGAAGAGATGGAAGAAGAAGCAAAGCAAGTAGTCGAACGTCAAAAACTAGTCAAAGTTGACGACGAACGAGCTCAACAGTTACTCGCCTCTCCAGCCCAACAATGGGATTCCTTTTACGAGCAACACGTTGATAACTTCTTTAAAGACCGCAATTGGCTGTTAAAGGAGTTCCAAGAACTCGATATGCAGTACTATAAGGGAGTTAGTTACAATCTCATTTCCAAAGTCACGAGTTTTGTAGGAAACTCCTGTGCGAGTTCTGGAAGTTGGATGCGGCGTGGGTAACACAACCTTCCCCTTAAAGGAATGGGATTATGAAAAGAAGATGTTTCTGTACAGCTGTGATTACTCAGCAGTAGCCGTAAAAGTAGTGAAAGAACACGAAAAATATGATCCAGCAACTATGAAAGCCTTTACATGGGATATAACAGAGCCACCGGTCGAGGACGCTCCCAAGCCCGAATCCCTTGATTTTATAGTGTGCGTCTATGTTTTATCCGCCATTCATCCTTCTAAAATAGCCAATACTGTCAAGCATCTAGTTTCTCTACTAAAGCCAGGTGGAATGTTAATGCTGAAAGATTATGGTCGATATGATTTGACTCAGTTAAGATTTAAAAAAGATCGATACATTGAAGAGAATTTGTATTGTCGAGGAGATGGTACACTTGTATACTTCTTCGAGCAGAATGAACTCGATGAAATTCTTTGTAGGGCCGGCTTAGAGAAAGTAATGAATATAGTTGATAAGCGATTGATTGTTAATAGAGCTAAACAGGTTAAGATGTACCGCCAATGGCTTCAGTTGAAGTATGTCAAACCCAAATGATTTTCATTTCCTCATTGTTTTCCTTGTTGACATTTGTTTTCATTAAATATTAACTTCAAGTTGTTGAAAAGCATTAAATCATTCTTTAAGAACAAAAAATCTTTGATGAAGATGACTTGCCAAGCATACATGTTCCAATCAGTTTTTAAATCCATCTTAGCCGTGAGTCCTTAACAGTTTTTAATCGCTGTGATTTCTCTCTCTTAAAGGCTCCAACACTTAAAGAACTCAGAAATGATTCTAGTTTCAAAAAAAATCCTTACATGTTACATGTGCTATTGTATGAGTTCTTAGCCGGAAGAGGTCTTGAAGGAGTAAGTGATTCTCATCATACCTTAATCTCTACAACTTGTTTCAGGCTTCACCTAAGCTGAAGACGCCGATCCTCCAATATGCTAAAGAGATTAAGGATCAGGTTTCCTTTCTGAGATTTTCGCTTATTCATTAATTGCTTAGGAAAAATTGCTGGAAGGCGAAGGCAGAGGAATTAAATCTATGCGAGAGAAAGAAAAACAGAAAAAGGTCTTTACAATTTCATTTTGTTAATCGTCGTCTCTTCTCAGACTTTGGTAATCCCACGCTATGTCCGGATTAATACTTTGAGATGGACCAGAGAGGAAGCAATCCAGGGGTTAATAGATGAGAGTTGGAAACTCAAAGGTATTTATTCTTTTTTGAAACTTTTTCGAATTCTCGGATTCACAGAGCTGGAAGAAGGTGATGATCTTCTCCAGTGTATAGATCAACTCAAAGAAGATGAAATCATTATTGACCCGCATGTAGAAAATTTGTTGATTTTCCCTGTCACCAAGAATTTCCACGCTTACTCTTTAGTTAGTGAGAAGTATCTCCTCTTACAGGATAAGGTAGTTAGTCTTCTCCCTACTCAGTGAACGATATCTCTCTAGGCTTCTTGTCTTCCTGCGTTCCTACTAAACCCTGAGCCAGGCTCAGATATTTTCGATTGTTGTGCTGCTCCAGGAAACAAAACTAGTCATGCTGCAGCTATTATGGAGAACAAGGGGTATGCAATGCAACATTGTATTTTCAATTTCTGTGAATCATCTTCAGCAAAATATATTCTATGGACCGAGACAAGACGAGGTTAGGTACGATGTCTACTTTATTAGAAGATTGCGGAGTCTCTTGCGCACAAGTAATGAATGGTGATTTCCTTCGAGTTGATGTTAATGATGAAAAATACGCTAAGGTTTGTAATGACAGAGATTCCTTGTAGCAGTTGTATTTTCTAGGTTCGATATGCTATAGTCGATCCACCTTGTTCAGGTTCAGGCATGATAAAACGTATGGATGAGTTCTGCGAAGAAGGAGTCGATAGTGAGCGTCTGAGTAAATTAAAAAACCTACAAGTTAGTTGCAAGGCTCACAGTATAATCTCAGTGTACATCTTGAAGAGTATGATCTTGAAACATGCGATGAAGTTCCCTAATTTGGAAAGAGTAGTATACTCTACGTGCTCAACACATGAAGAAGAGAATGAACAAGTGGTAGAAGAGGTAGAGACGGTGAAAAATTGTATTTTCAATGACACATTTGAAGACTCTCAATGATTCTTACGTTCGTGAGAACTTCCGGCTTTGTACAGATCTATTGCCCAACTGGACAACTCGTGGACTATCTACATATGAAGATGGCCCGCATTGTCTCCGCGCCGATCCCAAAGCCACAAGATCAAATGGTTTTTTTGTTGCCGTCTTCGAAAGAATATAGGACAGGATTTGTTTTTTTGTTGTTGATTTATTCCATCGAATTGTTTGATTCACAGTTGCATAAGTGATTCTGTTATTGTTTTTCTCCTTATAAAGAACTTGAAGATGCTTCTCTTCGCCCTTTTAGGTGACGTCTTGAATTAAGCGCAATGAATACAACGTCCGTTACAACCGATCGTCTTTAATAGCTCCTGATTAGAGAAAAGCAATTTCCTTTTTTGGCTTGTTTGTCAGTTCTATACATTTCTCTAGGACTTGGGTAATTGAGTGTGCCTTTCAATTACTCAGACGAGAAGTTGCCTCATTGCTTTGTCAGAGAAAGCTGGCATGTAGTAGTTTGGCTCTCCTACGGCCTCATTCATAGCAATCCAATCATCTGAAGCACGTAAGGGCATCTTGCCTTCTTTTCCCCATACATGATCTACCACGAAACAACTGCCAAGAAGGAATGGATTGGCTTGTTTATTTTTTGATAAATTCTCTCTATGTGTTAATTGAAACCTCTGGTATTTTCAAAATATCAGTTCTCATCTTTGCGGAAGGTCAGTTTGAAGACACAGTCGACTCAGTCAAAGTAAGTGTTACGCCAACCAAACAACTTCTTATAATCATTTTCAGACAGCGTATGAGGAAATTTTTCAATCGGCTAGCTATGCCATAGGAAATTATACAATTACACCCGAATATGTAGATGGTGGTACACTCAACTATCGCAGGTAACCCTAATTCCTTTGAATCGTCGAGTTAATTGAATTGTAGGGGTCGTAATCGACTCGACTTAACTAAGGAAGTAGTGTGTCACGAGTTGCTCAACAAATCTCTGGCTACTGTTATTTATGCTTCCTCACTAAGAAGGTACAGCATTTCAATTAATTCTCTAACGAGGGGTTTACAGAGAAACGCATGAGCTCTATCTATCATTAGCGAAGTCTACACTATATGCTCTATCTTTCTATCAGTTGCCTGCCATAGGAGTGATGGTGCGTGAAGCAGAGTTTAGCAAGAAAGTTAGTCTGTCTCATCCAACTATGGCTTACTACCCAAATTCAGAGGGTATACAAAACTTTCATACGGTCATCACCTGCATTTTCGGACGAGTCATATGTTTTTCTACATCTTCTCAATTATTTGAACTATCGACAGGTTTCAGACCACGCATTATGTTAACACTAAAACTGTTGCAGGTAGTAGTAGTAAACGTACGCGGTGACCCAAACGGAATTCAGTTTGTAGAGATGTTTGAGCTTAAGAAATTGAAATATAAAATTCATGTAAGCCATTAATGAGCATTATCGAAATACCTCACTGCGACTAACGGTACTGGTATATGGGTAAACATACCACCGCTCTCTGGCGCGAAACTTTTTGAATGATATGTTTGTGTGCGCTTCATTCTATTTTCGTAACTGCATGAGACCGGTTGAGCCTGTAGAGCGTGGCATATATTCTGCCACGTTTCCAGTAATCATTAGAAGTTATTATGTTTTTTTTCAGGTTCAACGTTATGTGGAGCTCGAGATCAATGATTCATTGAATGTCACTCTTTTGGAGCAGTTTGAAGAAGCTACGTCTAATATCATAATATTGTATGCGAAGTAAGTACATCTCAATCTCCAGAATTTATTAGAATCTTCAGTCAGCCAGATGCTGAAGCCATTTTTGATGCTGCTGGAGACTTGACTGGACCTGGAAAAGTCTGGATTATCAATGAAGAAGCTAGTAAAGCTAAGAACGTGCCAAGCGGTTCTGATGATGTCCTCATTTATATGATGCTTCTATATTTTCAGGTGCTCTAGCTAGTCGTTTATCTCAAAGTCCAGTATCAGCTTTACGAACATCTTTTGCTATTTTAAAAAATGGACTACAGTTTCTCGCTACATTGGATGAAACAATTGAACCACCAGAAAGCTGTCGAAGAGAAGATGTACACTCGTCGTGGACAGAGAAGCACGGACCAATGTTCTACAAGTACCTTTCCAGGGAAAATTGAAAATTTATAAAGTTTCTTTCAGTGCTATATGTAGTACTTCAACGAACAAAATAGAATTTAATGAGAGATGTGAGAGAATCAGTGTGAATTATGATATTGTTAGCTTCGCGGACGAACCTTTTGACGTTGGAGCTTTAGTGAGCATCTCTATATGCAGTGTGTCAACTAATCTTATGTGTCTTGCAGCATGGTAATCATTTACGTTTGAACGAAGATATCATACCATGGAATGGTGGAAAGAAGCCGTTGGAGATATCCTTGCCAAAACACCTAAGAGCGGTTACCATCAATGTAATTTCGATGTACTGAAAGTTTACTTTTGATGAGATTTTTCAGGATCCTCCCTTTGTTTATGTGACTCCTACGATCCATTTGAGTGGCTGTAAGAATTTGGGTACAATTCCTATAGCGCTTAGTGGGAAAGAAATCATTAATGTGGTAAGTAGCTCAGAGATTTGAGCAAATAAATCATTTTAACCCATATCCAGCCTGGACCTTGGCTGCCATGTCCTAAATATTCTTTCAATTATACTGCTCATTATTGTTGTGCCGGGTATGCTATTGATTTGTTAACGAATTTATCAGTTTCCGAGGTATTTCTTTCTTTTTTTTCATTTTATTCTAAGTGTTTTGAAGCTGAACTCGAGCATGGATACCAGTTTTTCGTTTTCTCTTCATTTGAACGATAGTTATGGTTCTGTATTACTATCCGATGATGTGATACTTGTAATGCTAAACGAGTTCCGTTATTCCAATCTTTTTAGATGGGATTCTATCTTACTGGAGCTCTAGGAGAATTAGACAGTGATATGGCAGATTTAGCTGTAGGAGGAATGACTATCAATCCCGAACGTGAGAGATACATAGATTTTTCTGAACCCTGGTTATATCATGGAATTCGTATTTTAGAAAAATCGGTTAGGAGCATTACACTATTGAAATCCTTATAAGCTTTGCTGTTGTAGATTCCTCGAGATTCGCCTATGCAGTCTTTTCTGCAGCCTTTGAAGTCTTCTCTTTGGACTGCTTTGCTGATCTCTGTTCTTTTTGTAGGGCTAGCCATCTACAATCTAGATAAGAATTCTCCTTTTAACAAGTACCACAAGGTATTTTCAAGTATCAATAGTATCCTCTGAAAAATATGAAATGCAGATAATCAGAAAGAATGAGCCAAGGGCCAACTTGTTTGAGGACTCTCATGAAAACCAGCGAGTATCTTTTGAAGAAGCCATGTGGTTTGTATGGGGTGTACTTCTCAACAGTGGAGTTTCAGAGAGTATATTTTCATCATATAAGAAGTTTATGACGTCTTCTATTACAGAAACTCCGAGTAGTATATCGGCCAGAGTTCTTGGAATTGTTTGGTGCGGCTTCTGTATGATCATGGTTGCATCTTATACCGCCAATTTAGCTGCATTCTTGGTGCTGGACCAACCTGAAAAAGGCCTAACAGGCATAACTGATCCTAGGGTATTGTGGTTATATCTTGATTTTATTATTCTGTTTTGTTTAGTTACGTAATCCATCAGCAAATTTTTCTTTCGGAACAGTTCTCAACTCTAATGTGTACCAGTATTTCAAACGTCATGTTGAGCTGTCAACTATGTTCAGGAAGATGGAAGCCCATAATGTCAAACAAGTCTCTTATGCTATTGAAGCTCTTATCAACGGGTACTTTTCAATAAGCTGAACTTAGTATGATGTCTTACAGATCTCTCGATGCATTCATATGGGACTCAACTCGATTAGATTTTGAAGCAGCGAGGCACTGCGAGTTACGAACCCGGTGAGATTCGTTATCTGTACTTTAAGACAGAATTGTTCAGAGGAGCTCTTTTCGGGCGTAGTGCTTACGGAATTGGTCTTCAAAAGAACAGTCCTTGGACACCTCATATAACTTCAGCTATTCTGAGGATGACCGAAAGTATTATTGACTCTCCTTGTAATAAAACAACAAAGTATGTTAAGGTGGTGTTATGGAGCAGTTAGATGCAAAATGGATTGATAGCTCGGAGTCGAAGTGTGTGATCGAAGTGCATAAATCTCCGGCTCGTTTGGGACTTATGAATATGAAGGTTGTTCGATATTAGTTCAGCTTCTTATTTCCTTTTTTGAAGGATGTTTTCATCTTAGTTAGTGGAGGTGTCGCTGCCGGAGCTCTGTTCAGCGTTATCGAAGTCACATATGGACGACGTAAAGCTGCGAGCGGGTCGGTCAGCTGATGCTAAAATTTACAAAATAAAAACAAAAACCTACTTCCAGAAGAAAGAGAGCACTAGCGATGAGATATGTGGAGAAGTGGAAGGCGTATGCCTTCACTAGACCTCAACATTCATCCTACAACTTGTCGCGTCCACTCATCCGTCGTGGGGTTGGAGGAATAGAGTCTCTATCTCTGAGTGTTGTTAAGTTAAATGATAACAAAAACTATTTGTTTTCCATTCCAGAATTCAGAGTGTAAAGTGGTTCATCCCGTGAAATCAAGTAGACCTCGTCCCTTTGTTCCTGATCTAGACTTCGGTCGGGTCCCTGCTAGGTTGTTTTGCAGTAGATGCCGAGTAAGAAGTGTAGATACAACAAGTTATGACATAATTTCTTTTAGAGTCTGATTGAAACAGATCTGCAGAGAGAGGCAGGACTCTTTGCTTACTTTTGCTCATTCGTACTTATATTATTGCTTTTATGGCCATGTTCTCCTATACCTTGCTATATGGATTCTTTCTCTGATTTTGTCCATGTCTGTCCTTTATGCTCACATAGGATTGGTCGCTATCGGAAGTTTAGATCTTCAAAGTTCTATGTGTAAATTAGATTGTTCATACGGTTCAATATCAATGAAACTTTTTGAAATTGATAAAGAGTAACACTGCATCGTGACGTTTGATTTCAGCACCGTTCTAAGCGATTAACTAGAATGCAACCGTTCTGG